GCTGCAGGGATGGTGGGCCCTGCTGTGACCACGGTGCCTGCCAGCTATTGAGGAGATTGGTGCAGGGGGGTTCTGGGGCCCTGCACCCCTAGCTGCTGACAGGCAAAACTCGTGACATGGTTGCTTGTGGGACTGACTGTCTCTGTCTTGACTAAAAACTGAATCATTGATGGGGTCATAAAAAGAATCTGGAATTAATACCAAAGAGACTGGTGGACCCTTTGTACTGAATGTAGTACAGGAAGACTGAGTAATAACACTGCATCTCCAATTCGCTTCTACTGATACCCACATCAAATGATAATAGAATTGAAAGCATAAGTAATTGTCAGAGAAAAGCCAGTCTGTTATATGCTGAATCAACATTGGGAGAATTATATCATCCATGCAGATATCATTTTAAAGCACTAAACAAAACAATTACATTAATTTTCCCAGGCCCTGGGGACTCTTTTCCCCAGTCTCTAATTAAAGTTCAAAAACAGGTAAGGCCCTACACTAACTTTCTCTACAGAGATGTAGGGGAACAACTGTGGCCTTCTGCAACAACTGGTCTTTTCCTCTTTTTGACTCAAGATGGGAGAGGCTGCTAAACAAGACATTTTGAAAAGGGGAAAATGATGTTTAATTTCTTCCTCAATGAAATTCTGGGATTGTGTGTACTAGGAGCTGTCCAATATTAATGTTTTTATTTTACTTCAAGCGGGAAAAGATCCTAATATTTAGAAATCTTTGGTACAAGAGGAATTGAGACTCTGACTGGTCCTAGGTGACATTTGTCAATGAGGAAATAATTTTTTTTGAAAGTTCATGTGAAACAAATCCCACAACAAGGGGTCAATTTTGAACATAGCAAGGGGGAAAGAATCAGTGGGTCTACAGTGATCTCAGTGCTCTACATTACCTAATAGTAATTATGGCAGGAGACCATGCCCACACACCTCAGTTTTTCAGAGTTTCTACAGAAAAAAGCAGCAGATCTTCTTGAATAAAAACTGGAAATACAGTTCATTATCTGAGACTGACTTGTCTGTACACACGCATTAGGGTTGTACGAAGCTTCAGGAGCTAATGCGATTCAGAGGAAATTCAGCCCAATTTGGTGGCCGAACCTCCAAATCTGAATTGAATCAGGGGTCCAATTAAAAGGTCTGAATCAATTTGAAGCTCTCCGAATTGATTCAGAAGAGAGTCACAGAGCTTTTGCGATTCAGGCAGTCCCCGCACACTGAGTCACAGAGCTTTTGCGATTCAGGCAGTCCCCACACACTGAAGCACGGAGCTGGAGCTGGACTCCAAGCTGGTAAGTAGGAGTGGAGAGTGGAGGGGAACATGGGGGACCCCACACCAGGCTCCATCTCCTGCCTGCTCCCCCAGCCCCCATAGTGCCCTCTGCCCCCTCTCCCAGCCCCCATGCCATGGCTGCCCCACCCACTGCAGGTCCTGGCTCTTTAAAAACAAACAAACAAAAGAGAAACTCACCGGCTGCTATAGCAGCCTCAGGGCTTCTGGAGGCTCATGGCAGAGCCCCCCATGCAGCATGGGGCAGTGGGGGGCTGTGGAGATCCCCAGTCCTGCTCCTGGCAGCAGCCGGTGAGTGGGGGCTTTTTTTCAAAGAGCTGGGAGCTGGGGTGGGCACGCCAATATTGCTGGAGCTGGGAGAGCGGGTGGTGGATGGGGCCTGTGTGATTTGGAGGTTCAAACGAGTCGGCAGCAGCGTGAATCAGATTCAGACAAATTGATTCAGGACAGTGATTCAAATCAACGAATCGAATCACTGTCCCCCGAATCGGCCGAATCTGAATCCAAAGCGAATACTAGCCACTTTGCACAAGCCTAACACACATTAACCTGCATCTAAGAATCAAGATAATGACTAACGGGAAGGTTAGGAAAGACAGGATTGACAGCTAGTCACATTTTATGGAGCTACTTGTTAACAGCCACTTCCATTTTTTTCATGGTCGAGGCTACTAAAGGTAGAAGATAAAGATTCAATCAGAGCTCTTTTTTCCTCCAGTAACACCAGGAATTCCACTGCTGAACTCACTGGAATATACTGGTTTAAAGCTGATGTAAGTAGAAGGACAGTCAGTACAAAAGTGCAATCCCGCCCTGACAAGTGGCAGTTTGAAATGTTCAAATCTCAACACATAACCTGTTTCCTTCAGGAGAATTTCAGGAATCTGCAGGAGGCAAGGATTATGGATATACAGTATGTCAAAGCCATATGAGGGACTAGCTACATTCAAAAACCATGTTCAGTCACCCAAAATACAAAGTGTGTGTTTTGTGGGGGGGATGAAGAAGCGTTTTGACACCTTTTCCCAAAGTAATTAAGTGGTAAAGAAGTCAAAATGCCCTTGATTCTAGAAAAACCCATCAGTGACCTTCTCAGCTTCATTCAGTCCAAGCACAGGTCAGGCAAGTACAACTAATGTCAGTTTTGGTGGAAGACTGTATTTTCCAAACAGCTTTCTAAACACTCCTTGTACATGCATCTTACAAAAATATCAGGGGGAGCATCAGGGGCTAGGCAAACAACTATTCACCAAAGTGCCCCAGTGGGAAACCAGGAGCAATGGTCATAATCTCCAAGAACAGGGTTTCAGACTGTAAGTAAGGAAAAATTTCTTCAATGTTTGTGAGACCAGCGTCTGGAATAGAGTCCCAGCAGGGGTGGTACAGGCACCTACCCTGGAGATCTTCAAAAGGAGACTGAACGCACACCTTCTTGGGTTTATGACCACAGCAGTCTTTCCAGCTGAAATCAGGGACACTGGGCCCAACGATCTTATGAGGCCCCTTCAAGCCCTAAACTTCTGTGAATCTGAATCTGTGACATCCCTGTTTCTCAGGCTGTAAATGACAGGATTTAGAACTGGGGAGACAACAGTGTAAAACACAGCATCCATCTTGTCTTGCTCTGGAGAGTGGTAAGTGTTGGGTCTGGTGTACATGAAGATAGTTACGCCATAGTACAGCCCCACCGCAGTCAGATGTGAGGAACAAGTAGCCAGGGTTTTCTGCTGTCTTCTGGTTGACTTCATCCTCAGGACTGTAGAGAATAAACAAGTGTGAGAGGCTAGTGTGATGGAAAATGGGGTGAGGAGCAGGACAATACTACTAACGAAGACCAGAGTCTCATATATGGAGGTATCAGAGCAGGACAAATCTCACATGACATGGACTAAATCAACGCATACCCTAAGCTTATTCACACCAGACCCTCTGGTCCTACAGCCATGTTAGAGAAAGTTGGAAAGTTTTCATCCCTAACTGGGGTAACTGTGTTTTCTATGGCAGAGTGTAAATCCATACTGCAGGGGCTGGAGGGGTCTGAAGAGCCGGGGCTTAGTGTCCAGTACTTCTGACTGTCTTTCAAGATGGTGTTCAAGGACACGGCTATGTGTTTAACCCAGATGGAATTTGTGCCCCTGGAAGATGGAAACAGGGGGCTTTACCAGGACCAGATGCTTTACCAAGCCCGTTTTTTCCCCTTGGTAAAGCTTCTTTTTTACTGTTCCCCACAACTGCAGGACTTTTTAATTTATTCTTCTTCTTCAGTGTTATCTTTACCTGTGGTTTGCTGCTGTTTCCAATCCATGTTTTCACACTACTCTGCCATTTGCTAAGGCTTTCATTAGCTTTTAAATTTTCATAGTCTTCATTATCTGATCCTACCAACTTCTCTTAGCTCTTCATTTTACTCTAACACCCGAGTGCTACAGCTGAATTTGTGCAATCTGCTACAAGCCTCTGCTACACATCCTCCCCCTGCAGAAGGAAGACCTCTTAAATTCTCTCTCCCCCGATCCTGTCCATCATACCCTAGTTACCTTAAGGGCTTAATTCATGGGTAGGGTACAGAGGAGGACAGAGCCCATGAAATAACTCTCAGCAGGTTCGCAAGGGCTACAGCCCAGCTGCAGGCAGTTGGGAGTGATTACAGGTTGGGCCAGCTGAGAAAGATAATTACCTGGCCACAGGGAGTAAAAAGTCTCCAAGAGAAAGGCACCAGAGGGAAGGGCGAAAGTTTTTGATGGAGTCAGGGGCATTTTTTCAGGCCTAGAACAGGTAGAATTATAAGTGCACCACATATCAGCTATGTTAAGTTATGCTATTGAGTGCTGGTTTATGTTGTTGATGGCTCCCGAGAGGCAAGTGTATCCAGGAAATAAAGAGCTGTGTGAAGCTTAAAAGATTTTGAGCTAAGAAAGCCCCCAAATCTGCTACACGGTTTAGATACCAAACTATCTGGAAAAGTCTAAATGTGAGAAGGGAATGGAGGATTATAGCCATTCATAAATTATTTTATTTGAATCAGTACTTGCATCCAGTACAATGTGTATCCCAGTCTGGTCCAATTTTTCCAGGTACAGAGAAATAAACCCTTTCCTTTTCACTTTCTCTATGTTCAAAGTCTCATTATGGATGTAAAGTTAGGGAGCTTCCTCCTCTTTTCTCTTTCCTTTTTTAGTGATCCAATGCATTAACACAATTCATTTCATTCCAACAAAATGTATAGACCTACTTAGGGGTCTATAGGGGGTGTATTAAATGGAGCTCTCACTATTTTTTTTTTCTCCCAAGGACTATACTGATGAGCTCTGTGGAGTTTAATTGGTTTTAAACTGATGAGGGTAAGAAGATTCAGGCCCAATTCCACCTGGAAAGGTGACTTCTGGACATGTGTCCATTTAAACACTTGACCTATTTCTTGCAAGAAGATTTCAGCCTTTTGCAGGATATGGGCTACACAGGTTCTTCAATCACCCATAGTCTTGCAATAATCTGGTTAAATCTCCTCTAACAGGGGCTGGAGGCTTTTCCAAAAGGATCGAATGATAGAGGAGTCTGAATGCCTGTGATTTGCAGAAGGACAGAGTTAAGGCAGAGATCTTAGAAAAAAGAAACCGTAAATTTCTGAATGTTTCAGTCTGTTCTCCTGGCTTTGATCAAACCGTTTACATAACAGCAAACTATGGATACTATCAATTCTAGTGGAGGACTCTGTGTTTTCCAACGAGTTTCCTAAGGGCCCCTAAAACATCCCTGTTTCTCAGGCTGTATATGACAGGATTCAGAACGGGGGTGACAATGGAGTAAAACACAGGCACAATCTTGTCTTGCCGTGTTGAGTGGTAAGAATTGGGTTTCATGTACGTGAACATTGCTGCCCCATAGAACAGCCCCACCACTGTCAGGTGTGAGGAGCAAGTGGCCAGAGCCTTCTGCTGTCCTGTGGTTGACTTCATCCTTAGGATTGCAGCCAGGATTCGAGCGTAAGAGGCTAGTATAATGGAAAAAGGGATAAGGAGCAAAATACTGCTATTAAGAAACACCACAGTCTCATAGGTGGAGGTGTCGGAGCAGGACAATTTGAGAAGGGGAGGAATCTCACAGAAGAAGTGGTCAATATATTTTGAGCCACGGTAGGGCAGACTCATCGCATAAACGGTATGAATTAAGGCATTTAAGAGAGCACAAAACCATACTATGGCTGTCAGGCCCAGGCAGACTTGTCTGCTCAGGAGGACAGGGTAGTGCAAGGGTTTGCAAATGGCTACATACCTGTCGTAAGACATGACTGGCAGAAGGAGGCGATGTCTATGAAGGCCAGTTGGCTGAGGAAAAAGTACATGGGGGTGTGAAGGGAGGGAGTCACCTGGATTAGAAACATGAGGAGAGCATTCCCAGACACAGCGGTAATGAAGGCAAGCAAAATCAGAGCAAGGAAGAACATGTGGACTTTGCTGTGATTCAGCAGTCCCAGCAGAATAAATTCTGTTGCATTTTGCCTCTCCACTTGCACTGCTCTTGGTTGGTCCTGAAGGAAATAAAGAGAGAAAGCTGAGAGGATGTACATGTTTTGTACTGGATAAAACTAGTGATGCCAGATTTGTGCCCCATTTGGAAAAGGGCTGTCTGCTCCAAGCAGGGGAAACAGCAGTGGCAGCAGAAATCAGACTAGCTTCCCTTTGGGACAGTGCCTTCAGCACTTTGCTGCCAAGTCAGACTCTCTTTGTCTGCTAGTCCCCCTTAGCACAGTTTCATCAGGAAGGCCTTAGGGACCCTTAATCAAGTCCACATCTATGCGTTCCAATGAGAACATGAATGAGCATGTGTACAGGCAGCCACAGATGTGAAAAGGATACAAAAGATCAGGCACGTCAAAGCGTCTGCTAGATGCCCTTTAACAACTGTGGCACGTCCATAGGGTAGCTTGAGAAATGTGGGAGACACTTAGACAATTTAATAAAGACATTTGTATTGTGGTCTGGATCTGGCAAAGCTTGGCCACATGTTCAGCTTCATGGATGATAGTGGAGCCTCTTGCTTCTCTCAATGCAGGTAACAGGGTGCAAGTCTCAAACAGGTTGGTGGCTTTCAGGTGACCAAATAATTATCTTTGAAATCCCAATCTCTATGCAATTCATTCTTGTGAGACACATTAAACAAACAGAACAAACCTTGTATACTCTTGCTAGAGGATGGATTCAAAAGAACTAGACATGAACATTTGAGCGAGATAAGCAAAAAAAACCCCAAAAACCAATCCTTATCTGTGACTTTCAATGAATTATAGCTCAATTAATGTTATATAAATAGTGTGATGTCTGTACAACCAGGATTTCAATGCTTACATGTCATCCTGTAAACTGCTGCTCATTCTACCATTAGGAAAGCTTTATAAACTAGACCTTTAATAAAAGGAACATTCCACTTTAATTAAAGACAGAATGTTCAACTAATTCATGAAATTATCAATACATTTACATATTATGCTCATCACATTTTAATAGTTTTTCTGCTAAAATTAATACATGTTATTATTGATGCTAGTATTTGAAACAATACAGGAAGAAGCATTTACTCTGACCTTTATGTAAAAATCCTAACTGAAATCAGATAAAGAAAAGTAAATAGAAGAGTGGTGGTGTTGGTAGTAAAACCTACATTTTTCTCAAAATCTAAACCTCTGTAACTGGAAAACCATAGGAAACAATGACTTACCTTCATCAGTCTTATGTAGTTGAGAGAACGGTTCCAAAAGGAAAGAATTTTGATCTCTTGAGCCAGAAAATCTTCCAGATTTAGTCTACTGGGTTTTTCTATTCCTAGGACACATTCATTTTCCCATCACTCTAGTATATAAACACCTATAACAGAATCATTATTTTGTGATCAATATTTATTGCAATATGGAAAGAAATAAGCAACTCCTGTAAATCTCATCTTTCTGTAATTCAAAAAGTATCAAAGAACATTGCATCATTGTAAACACAGGTAGTGAGGATTTGAATTAACATGTCCATCCTGTAATATTGCTCAATATATTCTTACAGAAAGGAATCAGTTCAAAATAGCTTGTGCATCAGTTCAATTTCCTTCCCCAAAATTAAATATTATATTACATTACATTGCATTACTTTACATCCCAAAATATTTAATTAAAGATCCATGTTTGAAATATGAGAAATTTTTTGTGGTTCTTCCTATAGGCTAAAAACTGGATCATTGATGGGGTCATAAAAAGAATCTGGAATAAATACCAAGGAGACTGGTGGACCCTTTGTACTGAATGTAATACAGGAAGACTGAGTAATAACACTGCATCTCCAAATCACTACTACCGCTGCCCACATCAAGTGTTTCTGGAATCGAAAGCCTAAGTGATTCTCAGATAAAAGCCAGTCTTTTATATGCTGAATCAACATTGGGAGAATTACATCATCCAAACATAGATAATTTTAAAGCACTAAACAAAATGATTAATTTTACCAGGCCCCGGGTGCTCTTTTCCCAAGTCTTTAATTAAAGTTCAAAAACATGTAGGGACCTACACGAACCTTCTCTACAGAGATGTAAGGAAACAACTGTGGCCTTCTGCTTGAGGAGATGTCTTTTCCTCTGTTGGCTCAAGGTGGGTTAGGCTGAAAAACAAGACAATTTGAAAAGGGGAAAACAATGTATAATTTCTTCCTAAATGAAGTTCTGGGATTATGTGTAGTAGGAGCTGTCCAATATTTATGTTTTTATTTGACTGCGTAAAGGAAAGCATCCCATAATTTTGGAACTTTTGGTGCAAGAGGAATCCAGACTCTGATTGGTCCTAGGTGACATTTATCAATGAGGACCTGCCATTCTTCATGCAAAACAAATCCCACAACAAGGGGTCAATGTTACACATAGCAAGGAGAAAAGAATCAGTGGTCTATAATTGATCTCCATGCTGTACACTAATTGAGTAATAACACTAATTAAGGTGAGGGACCAGGCCCACACACCTCAGTTTTTCAGAGTTTCTACACAAAGCAGCAGCAGTTTTTCTTGAGTAAGAACCAGAAATACAGTTCATTATCTGAGACCAGCTTGCCTGTAGACACACATGTTCTTCTAACATGTGCTGCTACCGTAGTCTCTGAACAAAGGTGGACCACAATGCAGGAGCAGAAACTGCTCAAATTCAACCTCAAATTCAGTTCTGGTCAGTCTTAGATTTGGGGCAGGAAGGAGAAAGCCCTGGTTGCTGTATATGTATCAGCATAAACTAATGTTTCATTATCCTGTGCATTGTCCTGCCTCATGTCCTGTGCAGCTAGACATTACCCAGGCCCCAAATTCTCCAGCCCCGTGCAGAGGCCTGTAAACCACTTAACACTCCCTTGCATCATCAGGACAGGGCACCAGTGGGAAGTGGGTGATAGTTAGACCTTGTGTTGGCTCCTAGCTTGGCACTCAGTTGGACCTGACATGTGCAAGGCAACACAAATACAGTTAGTGCATGAGAACTGCATTTATGTCCGTAAGTGGAGAAGCTGGCCTATTGACTATAGTTTCCACATATGCCTTCAGTCCAGAACACATCCCTGAAGGCCCCAAAGCTGTTTTGAATTGGAACAGGCCATTAATAACTCATGGTGATCTCTGTGGCTCTGCAGTGATCTACTCTGGAGAGACAGGATAAAGAGATAGTGTCTTATTGAAAATAACATTCATCTGCCAACTTTTTCAGGTCTTACACTCAGCTTAACGGCATTTTTTCTTGTCTGTCCCTCTGTATCTGCACAAATAACACAATTCTTTTATATAATAAAGGGCTTAGTCTGTCTGTATGTCTGTCTGTCTGTAATGTTTGGCCAACTGTGCATGCACCGCCCAGAGGGCAGGTGGTGATTGGCTGCACGGGACCAAGTTTGAGCTGCTGCCAGGGAAGTTTGTGGAGGCAGCGAACATGCTCTGGTCCACCAAGCAGTGGGGACTCCCCATGCCCCCCTGCCTTAGGCAGCAGCAGCTCCCTTCCCACTGCCTGCCTCCTGCTCCGAGCAGTGGGGCTACCCCCTGCCTTCCTGCCTGAGGGCAAGGGGAGGGCTCACGGTGATGGCGAGTCCCCACTGCCCAGCCCCACTGCCCCCGAGACCTGCCTGCAGAGAGGGGGAGAGAGGAAGGGGAGTGGGGAGTGAAGGGGAGTCAGGTGGATGTGGGCCAGGCAAAGCAGGAAAGGAAGATGCAAAGCAGAGGGGAAGGACTGCACAGGGCTGGACATGGAGCACCGATGGTTGGCTTCTCTCAGTAGTGCCCCCCACCTGGGGCAGCACATGCCCTACACATCCTAGTGCCCCCAGGCAGCCCCGCTCTGGCCTGATCCCCACCAGGCCCCCATGGGGCTGTGCCACAGTGCCCCGTGCTGCTCAGCCCTCAGCCCCTAGCAGCTCCTCCTGTCCTGCCGCCCCCACTGCCCCACTCTGGGAAGCCAGTAGCATGGGGAGCCATGGGGACAGCACGGGCAGAAGATGCTGCCCCCCCAAGCTCCAGCTCCAGCCCCTCCCCGGGTGCTCGGCTGGGTTTGGACAGTCAGCCCAGGCCGAGAAGGTGGAGCCCCAGAGGGAAAGGGCCGGGAGCTGGGGCTGGACCCCCAAGCACTAGGAACAGCAGCTTCCCAGTTGCAACTTCCCTGCCAGGCAGAGCAGGCCAGGAAGATGCAAAGCAGAGAGGGAGGGGTGGCACAGGGCCGGACACGGAGCGCTGATGATTGTGTACATGGGTGGGTTAATGTATGAGCGAGCTGGGCACAAGTCCAGGCTCCCCAACAATTTGGGATCTGTTGGTAACACACACACAAGTGCACCACCCCCACCATGTGTCCTGGGCCTGGCTGGGAGCACCGCTGCTTCTTCCCTCATGCTGGGGGGGACCCAGCTGGGAGTGGCTCCGGCTTGGACCCAGCAGTACCACTTGCCCCATGCCCCCAGCCCTGCCCCCTCCCAAAGCAGTGGCCAGGGCCCCTGACCCAGGGCAGCCCGATCCTGATCCTGATCCTGCTGACCCTGGCTTCTCTCAGTGGTGCCCCCCACCTGGGGCCACCCATGCCCTAAACATGCCCGTGCCCCCCGCTCTGCCCCGATCCCCACCAGGCCCCCATGGGGCTGTGCCACAGTGCCCCGTGCTGCTCAGCCCTCGGCCCCTAGCAGCTCCTCCTGTCCTGCCACCTGCACTGCCCCAGCATCATGGGGAGCCATGGGGACAGCACCGGGCAGAGGTGCTGCCCCCCGAGCTCCAGCTCCAGCCCCTCCCCAGGTGCTCGGCTGGGTTTGGACATCCGCCCAGGGGGGGCGGCTTATCAGCCCAGGCCGAGCGGGTGGAGCCCCCGAGGGAAAGGGCCAGGAGCTGGGGCTGGAGTCTCAAGCACTGGCGACTTTCCAGCTGCAACTTCCCTGCCAGGCTGGGCATCTGCTGCCCCACTTTGCACACACACATGCCCCAACACACGTGTTCACCACCCCTGTGCACCTGCACCCACCACTCAACCCATCCCACACACCCACCCCCCGACACACATGTGTGTGCCACTCTGTGCACCCATACGCTGATGAACTCCTGGGACAGCAGGCCTGGCCCAAGATTTGGGACTGATTAGGACCTGGCTTACCACTCACTCCTCATCAGCAGGGAGCAAAAGCCATTTCTCTGCTGATGGGCAGCAAGAAGGGGTCATCAGGGCCTGTCGGGCAATCAGCAAGGAATGTTGGGGTGGCCACAGCCCGCCCCCCCCCAGCACAGTCCCTGCTGCAGCACTGCGCTGTGCTGCCTTCCTCAGCAGCCCCATGCTGAGGCAGCAGGGCAGACTGGCTCTGCATGGGCAGCACTGGGGAGGGGCTGTGGACATCCCAACTTTTGCCCTAGCCCCCATGTGGCTGCCACTTCCAGCGCAGCCATCACCCACTCCACTCCCAGGCCCCCTACGGGAAGAGGCCAGTGCACCCAACAGCCTTCAGCAGCAGCCTGACCTGGCCCCATGCACAGATCTGGGGGGCATGTGCCTCCTATGCCCCACCAGACTGCACACAGCATCTGGACTGGCACTCTCCCACCTGCCCTCAGCTCCCCTGGCACCCCACCTGGGAGTCCCTTTCATCACCTCTGACCCACCCCCTCTCTCACTCTCAGGGCTTCAATCTTCCCCCTGACCCCAGACTTACTGCATGGAGGCTGCTCCCCAAGCTGCCTGGCTGCATTCCTGACCACCTGCATGGTGGCATGTGCAACACTCATTGGTGACATTGTCACAAAAAATGCTGATAGCATTAATTTTCCTTTTATATGTGCTGATATGATATGTGTCCGATATATCAGTGCACCTCTATACTGGCCATCCAATTTTGTTTGCCCAGGGCCACAGTAACATTTAATCTGCCTCTGTCCACATGCCAGATGTGGAGCAGTAGTAGGGGGCATGGACCGTCCATTTGACTGCAGCAGACTTCCTACCTATGGCAGCGGGGCTGAACTCAATGATCTCGCAAAGTCCATTCCAGCCCCTAAAGTCTAGGAAATGTATGAAATGAAAATCTATGAGTGGGGCTGGGCACAGACTGTTGGTGGGGGGTGGGGGAGCAGAGCTGAACGTGGGCTGGCAGGGGGTAGGGCATGGGAACAGACACGGGGCTCCATCCCCATCCACCACCACCCATGTCATTCTTGATCGGCAATTTGCTAGTTACATTATAAAATTATCTCCA